CCCCCCCCCCCCCCCCCCCCCGTCCGATAAACGGTGGTGAAACCGCCATGGACTACCCCCATAACATTCATTCGGAAACACTCATGTTTGGGCGAAACGGCCGTGTCCTGATGGGGGGCGATACAGCGCTTACAACCGGGTTTCGAGCTGAAGTGGATGTACAACATCCGCGAGCAAAAGCGGCTGCATCAGCAGAGGAGGGCGGCCGCGAGGCTTGCGCGCCGAGGGGCTGCGGGCAACAACCAGGTACTGCCCCCCCCCCCCCCCCCCCCCCCCCCCCCCCCCCCCCCCCCCCCCCCCCCCCCCCTCCCCACGTGTCCAATTGCGGTGGATGTTTTTGACTCCCGGTGGTGCTGTACTACAGTACCGCAGAAACGTATTCCACGGAAGTCTTGTCCGCGGTATTTCGCGGATGCGTTCGCCGGAACACACTTCCCGTGACGCTGAGAGATGAGGGTACAGCGTCGGAAACATTCGGGAAATTTCCGGAAAACATACAGGACGGGGTGGTGCACAAGACCGACGCGGTTTGCACCAACAACTCAGTTAGTGTCGGGTGTAGGAGTGCGCACTGCCGGTGTCCGCCTACACACTAGGACGCAGTCAGTTTATTTTCTGCCATTTTGTTTTTTTGTGTTTTGGGTGTCTTTCGTGGGCTGGAATGGAAGCACCTCTATGTAGCCCTTTCGGCGTTCTGATGCGGTAAGTGGACGCCTTGGTGATGCGTGTGTTCACGTTGCTACTGCGTGGTTAGCGTGGTTAGAAAATTTTCAATTTCAATCGGGGATGGATGTCTTGCCAGAATGCCATACCTTGCATCGATGTCTTTCTGCAACCCCCCTCACGGACCCCCCCCCCCACCCCACGTATTCCGCGTTTGTGCAGGCGAACTCGACGCCGGCAAGCCCTTCTCCTCCAGACGTCGCTACCGTCCACCAAGCGTTGTCACCCCACCCGGAAGGTGGCGGGGCATCGAGAGGAACGGGAGGGGGGGGATCGTCCGGCCCGTCTCCTCCGGGGGCTGGTAGTCCGGCGTCCCCCGGTGGCGGGGGCGGGTTGGAGGTTGAAGCGGATGGGGAGGAGCTAGAGATGCACAGCAAGGCGTTTTATGCAATTGAGCAGCTCAAGGGTATTCGGGACAAGGCCAAGTCATCGAACAGGCGACGGTAAGCAGGAGAGAAATACTGAGAAGCACGCATCTTATCCTGAGGTTGAGGATTCGTTACTATCGCCGCATGTGCCGCATACAGGCGCGCCTGCTTTACTCGTACCACGCTTGCTTTCATGGGACAAGAACACGCCTGGTTGCTGTTTCAACGGATAGGTAGTGGCCCCAACAGACATGTGTATGTGTTTCAACCGATAGGTATTGGCCGCAACAGACATACGTATGACTGCAAATTCATGGCAAGCATTTTTTTCGTCGTTTCCTTGTCGTCGTGGGCAAGCAGGGGAGACTATCGTCCGTTGAAGGCGATCGTGTTCTCGCAGTTTCTTCCAGTCCTCAATGTGAGTCCGGCCAATGTATTTGGCGTTGATACGTTGCATCAGAGAGAAGATAAGTGTCGCGAGAGATCGACCGAACGATACGCACAGGTTTTATTTCAAGAAATAAGCTCGTTTTGTGAAATTGATCCAAAAAGCAAGTGCGGTACACGTACGGCCATCGCGCACAACAAACATAAAAAAAGAACCGAAGCGCACAGCGGGCGGGGCTGCGTAGCCAACGGCGGGTGGGCTGGGATCCTGAGCCGCCTTCAAGCACTTCAATACCTGACAACGACGCCACATATCCACGAATGTATCCAACGATAAATCGAAATCCCCTTGTAGCGCGCTCACACGCTAGTTGCTTCATTCCGGCACTAAGCTGATATCTCGTAATCCGCACCTGCCTGCAGATCGTGGGAGACAAGTTTCTCCGAGAGTTGGGCGGTTTTCCCGAAGAAGGCTGGCAGAGAAGAGGAGAGAAGTGCGTCGCGGAGTTCTGGGGCAAGAACAGGTGAGGGAAGTATTTAAAGTGTAATGTAATCCTTGGCAACCATTAAGTGTGTGTTTGCTCCCATGCAAGCTAGCGTAATACGACTGTTGCAGGCGAGCGCATGCAGCGATAAGGCGATCCTTAACCTAAGGTATAAAAGCTTCGCGAGCGAGTACCGAGGGTGACACGAGATACCAACCCCCCTGGACCGAGTTCAAGGTTTGAAGGCTTCATTACTCCAGGACGAAGAGGATACATGAATGAAGCGACACGTTTTCGGAAAGCCTCTCGATGTGAGGGCTTCAACGGCACCGTGGTCGGCGCTTCCACTCTTTCTGCTGTGGAGAAGTCGAGCTTGGAAAATCGGTCTAGAGGATGTGATATCTGCTGTCACCTATGGTATTCTAGTACCGAGCAAGCCTGCATGACCAATCGACTCAAGCCCTTCAGTCCTCTTTGGTAAAGCGTCTTTGGGCTCTAGGTAGTGATGTGCCATGTGAACCGGAGAGTTACATATGCCCTCAGCGGATCCCCCAGGCGCGGCCTCTCCACGTCAAAGTGGAAAGTATTTAGCGTTGAGGAGTCAACAGAGGCCCTTCAGATGGGACAGAAAGGGGTTACCATGATCATCTCGAGCTCCTTGGTTCCGCCTGGGGGGTATGGCCTGGTCGCTTGCACCGTATGGGATGTAAGAAAACGTGTTGTCCGTGTGACGTCTTTTGTGTGGGCACATACACGTTTCTAGCGCGCCACCTGCCGAAGAACTTGATGATACCTTTTCAGAAATTGAGGGTTCAATTTCCATGAGATGGAAAAAACTTGAACCCTACCCACACTAAAACCTATACATTCCAGGTTGATTGCTTTCCCCAGTAGCCAAAAAAGGAACGAGGGTCGCTCAAAATTGTTTTTTTGTAGAGTTCTTAAGGCGTGGCACGTACGGTGGTGCTGTCAGCTGAAGTTTCTTTTTGACATGTCCAGGCCCGAAGACTGGACTTTTTTTTTGGCAAATAGTGGCAGGCTCTACGGACGCATAGCTCTGTTTTATTTGTTGAACGTCTTTCTCTGGAAGGGTGAGTGGGGTGGCTTTCTTCTTTTCCTGGGATAGTCTTTCTTGGGACCTGAAAAAGTACACATGGCGTTTCTGTCGGTAAAATACACCAAAACGGATGTCAGTATTAATAGATTCGTGATGGAATCGCACGCGTCATAGTCTATTGTACGATCTACGTACTGATCCTTCGCGATTGTTTCCCGTCGTCTCTTTGCCTGCTTATTTCGTGTACGCCGTGTTCGTGTACAACCAGGGCCAAGGAACTCGAGAGGTTTCGCACCGACCCCGAGTGCTTCGTGTTGCTGCTGGGCAAAAGGGGGGCCCATGGCCTTGACCTCAGCTTCGTGACGCACATGTTCTTGATGGACCAGATCTGGGACCGTTCTTTGGAAACACAGGTGAGGAGGAGGAGTGAGGTCCACTGACGGTACAATCGGTTACGGGAGGATGTGCAGGTGCCGGGAGAGCGCAAACCCCGTTGTCATTTTTTTGCCATCCCATTTTTGCATCCCCTTCGTGTGTTTCTATTGTCATCTCAATTTGTTCTGGACGTCAGTCTTCACACCGTTCGGTACAATTGTTGAAGATAGACAAGTATTGAATTTGTGTTTCGCTGCGCCCCTGCGTGTGTGCTTCGGCCGGATATTGTGCCATCGGGTTTTGATGGCTTCTCCCCCCTCACCCTTGTCCCCGTTGCTACCTATCACATTCGTATACCAAGGTGGTTGCTCGCGCAAACCGCATGGGCGCTAAGGGCTCGGTCTCTGTGGTGCAGCTCATCATGAAGGACACGATGGAACAGGAGCTCCGTTCCTACGTCAACAGCGACAAGACTCGGAACGCCGCCCCCACCGCTACCCCGGGGTCTCGTTGGGGTTCGCTTTCTCCGTCTCACGGTAGCCCCGACGGTCATACCGCTCATCCTTCTTCCCCTCTGCGTGGGGCTCGTGCCGCGGGCGGCGTTGATGACCGTTTTCCAGCCAATGGGGGGGTGGGCGGATCAACCCCGACGCCCCCGAGAAAAAAGCCTCGAGAAAAGAGCCCGTGGGAGGGGAGGGGAAGGAAACGTCCCCGGTCCGGCGGCAGCGGCAAGAGGGTTACCGGCGGCGGCGGGTTGTCGGCGTCGTCACGTCAAGAGCACGCCAAGGTGCACTTCCTGTTGACGAGCTTGAGGCCGTCGAAGGCGGCCGCTGCTCAGGGGGGTGACGGTGGTGAGAAGGACAAGGAGAAGCCGCGGGGAGGCGAGGAGGAGGAGGAAGAGGAGGATGGCGAGGGAGACGCGGGTGCGTTGTCGTCGGCACGCCAAGGGAACGTTAAGGGGAAAGGCAAGGGCAAGGGCAAGGGCAAAAAGGCTGTCAGGAGAGGGGTAACTTTCGCCGAAGACGTCGTGGTTGTCCAAGACAAGGCTGTTGCTGCCGTGGAGGACCCGCGGTGGCGAGGAGAGGCGGCGGCAGGAGGCGGAGGAGCGAGCGCCGCAAGCCCCGACCGCGTCATCGGCTGGTCGCCCTAGTTGTATGGAGTGCTCGTCTAAGCCTAGCCTTGGTTTGAAGGTTTCTTTGGTTGAAATGGCGGCGGCGGCATGGTAAAGTGTACATCTCTGTACGCGTAGCCTTGATTTTGAAGGTTTTGAAACGGCGGTGGCAGCGGGCTTTCCCCCTCAAAACTGCAGCGTTTGACGTCACCACCGGAATGGGAATACCGTAGGAGAATCTCACGGTATTTGCATGTGTGGGATTTGAGCGAGTGAAGCGGGTGAGCCATTTTCGGTGGGATGGTCTTCGACAAGTCGGAACCCAAAGGGAGAGGGCGTGGTAGCTTATGCCTACCAATATTTATGTGAAGACCGTTTGGGCCTACGAGGATCCAGCCTTGTGTTGCGGGAGTTTGCGTCAGGCTTGACGAAGCACGTGTATCAGAGAAGCACGCGCCCACCTGTAGTACCACGGAGTAGAAACCAGACTGTTATTATTTTAGCCGCACGCGCTCCTGGTTTGAGGTACAGTAGCGGCTACGATTTAAGGAGGAATTTTTAAGAGCAGGTACGGGTTTAAGAGAGGGAAATCGCTTGGCACGACCAAAATCGATTTGTGAGAAATTTGGCATATTTCTGAGATTTTATCTTGAATCGAGCTGCTGGAGGCCACGTCACGTAGCCATCACACACATCCCACAGCTCTCAGCACAGACACAGCTGCAGACGCCATGCCCTGCGCAGCGGGCGACCGCTGCACTATGCCCGACGACACGCCAGGCTCGCCTCATTTCACAATACACAAATGCAGAGGCGTCTGCGGGCAGTACCTCCATGGTATCTGTGGTGTGGTGGACCCGCTCGGCACCACTGAGGTGCTCCGCATCTGCCACACCTGTGCGGCCTCCCGCGAGCGCGAGACTTCAGGCGCGGGGACTGCTGGGGCGCAGCCAGAGAAGAGCGGCTCTTCGGGGGCCAAAGACGTCGATCTGGTGGAGCAAGGCGAAGCGGGACAGCAATCGTTAGCGGCAGCGGCCTCGCATTCGCCGCCGTACGCTAACGGAGCACAACACTTTTGTGAACTCGAGGACATTGCCGAGAAGTGCGACATGCCAGAAGCGTCTTACCACCTCCGCAAGGCTAAGCTAGCTTGGATGAGTGGCCACGGGGCGGGGCCAACCAAGCAGACGTGTATCCAAGACTACGGTTGCAGCAGACGTACTCTAGTGCTGAGGATGACAGGCTTCGAGGGGTGCTTTGATTTTCTGTGCCAAAATTGTTTTGTAGCGCGTACGATATTTTCATACAGTACTACTGCTGTACGTGATGTAAAGCGTGTTTCGTTCCATGGCTCGTTTTTGGCACGAAGGCTGTGGGTGGTGTGTGCTCGTGCGTGAAGGGGATGGGTGGGGTACGAGGTGGTTCGTTCGGTACGTGCGTCGGTAGATTTATCCTTGGATGCTGGTCATGGGCTCGCGTTGTACTTCGAGTTGAGATGCGAGTACAGCAGTGTGCAGCACAACACAACAAGCAACAAACACTTCCAGACTATATTGTTTTTCCACGCGCACTAAGTTTCNAGCGTCTTACCACCTCCGCAAGGCTAAGCTAGCTTGGATGAGTGGCCACGGGGCGGGGCCAACCAAGCAGACGTGTATCCAAGACTACGGTTGCAGCAGACGTACTCTAGTGCTGAGGATGACAGGCTTCGAGGGGTGCTTTGATTTTCTGTGCCAAAATTGTTTTGTAGCGCGTACGATATTTTCATACAGTACTACTGCTGTACGTGATGTAAAGCGTGTTTCGTTCCATGGCTCGTTTTTGGCACGAAGGCTGTGGGTGGTGTGTGCTCGTGCGTGAAGGGGATGGGTGGGGTACGAGGTGGTTCGTTCGGTACGTGCGTCGGTAGATTTATCCTTGGATGCTGGTCATGGGCTCGCGTTGTACTTCGAGTTGAGATGCGAGTACAGCAGTGTGCAGCACAACACAACAAGCAACAAACACTTCCAGACTATATTGTTTTTCCACGCGCACTAAGTTTCCCACACGACAACATGATACTTAGTCCAATCTCCCAGCACAGGTTCCAAGAGCGTACCATGACTTGGGTCCATATCGCTCGCCGACCAACTCACAAAGCTGTATGTGGAGCTAGCCTAAGGTGCTTGACGCTAGCTGGGTCATGTGACATACGTAAATGATAGGCTCTCCATGAGCTCTGACGGCACATACTGCTAGAGTGGGCGTCAGGGTGTCAGTGTTCCGCGACCTTTAAAAGTTTCCAGTTGGCTACGGTGTAAGGCTGACTCTTAGTCTATGGCTCCCGAAAGTTGGCCCGACGGAAAAAAAAAAAATCGTTGCGAAATTCCGGGCGGATAATCCGGTGGAAGCCATATTATGGTCCAACGGATTATTTCGTCTGGTTTTCGAGCATCCTGCTTGTGGCATGTAGCGCTAGGGGGCTCACGACATGTCAGGATTCGAGATTGGATGGAAGCCTAGAGCGGCCGAGCGGCCACCACAGACCACACAACCCACGGTAGAGAGCGAGAGCCAAGTAAGTGCAGCACGGGCACCACCATGTCAACCGCCTCTCTTGTGCTGCAACCACATGCACCGCGGGCTGCGCCGCCAACACCGCCGCTGCAGCCTTCTTTCCCGCCGTCATGGCCATATCCTTGGCTGTGTCGTCCCCAAGTCCTAGAGCTAACACACGCCTATATTCTGGCGACGCCGCTGTGCCCGCCGCCGATGCCGCCTCCTTAGTGAATGAGGCAGTCTGTACAGGCTGTTGTGCACGCGGTCCCGCTGAAGCAGGCGGTATCGTTGACTGAACCGCAGAGGCAGCTTGGGGCACACCCGTTGCCTGCAACCCATCAGCCCCGTCCGCCTCGTCCGCCCCGTCCGTCCCGTCCCCATATCCGGCACCCAACTGCTCATCGTCCTCCTCGTACGAGGCTTCGAAGGCAAGTGAGTTATCGTGAAATTCATGTTCCCCGTTCTCTTCCCCGTCCTCTCCGTCGTCCCCCTCGTCATTCTCTGGTGCCGAGGCCCCTTCTCCCGATTCGGTTAAATCGATCGAGGCTCCATTTTCAGGAAGTGTGGCGACTTTTTGCGGCTTGCTGGAGGGCGGGTCCGCCTCCGCGGTGATGGGCATATCGGGCTGGGGGAGAGATGTGGCGTACAGCGCTAGGAGCTTCTCCCGAGTCTCTTCGACTTGGCCTTCATTGCCCATTTCCTTGTACAACGCAATCTGCTCGTTGAGAGTCTTCACCTCCAGAGTCCGATCTTCTTGGATGGACTTCTTAGCTAGCCGGATGTCTTTCTTGCGATTCGTCTCCTTCATCTCTCGGACGAAATCTACGATAACGCGATCGGCCTCTGATTCAACGGGGTTCTTCAGTAACTCGAGCAGATCAGCATTGAATTACTTCGTCTCCTGGGCAGCCTTCTCCCGCTTAACCCGCTTCCTTTCTTCTTCCTGATCCTTCTTCCTTTCCGTCCTGCTAGCCGGAATCCCTGCCCCTGTCGCATCCTGCTTCTTGAGGTCCCTGATGAAGGCAGGTGACTTCAGGTTTGGCCGTGGCGATTTCGCGGACCCTCTCCCCTCCTCGCTCTCGGAGGTCTCACCGGGCTCCCCGTCGGGCCCGGATCCGCTTTCCAAGAACAGGCAGTGGTACTCGTGCTGCTTCCCGGCCGGCCTACCTAGCAAAGCAGATATGAGGCTGCAGTTGTGTACATAGTTCGCCGGCATCGCTACTTGCACCTCAATCGAGTCCGGCGTCGCAGCTNAACAGGCAGTGGTACTCGTGCTGCTTCCCGGCCGGCCTACCTAGCAAAGCAGATATGAGGCTGCAGTTGTGTACATAGTTCGCCGGCATCGCTACTTGCACCTCAATCGAGTCCGGCGTCGCAGCTGCCGCCGCCGCCGTCGTCGTGCCCGGCGTCGCAGCTGCCGCCGCCACCGCCGCCGCCGCCGTGCCCGGCGTGCCCGGCATCGTAGCTGCCGCCGCCGCCGCCGCCGCCGGGACCCCGCTTCCCGGTTTCCTCTTCACTTTCTTTCTGCTCTGCGGCTGTAGTTTCCAGATCGCTTCGTGAAGTTTCTCCATTACATCGTCCTCCTGCTCTCCGGAGGGTGGTTCACCTTCCTCGTCGACGAGGCTGCACCACGAACAGGTACGGGGGGGGATACGGTACCAAGATGAGCACCCCGGGGGTGTGTGCAACNCGGCGTCGCAGCTGCCGCCGCCGCCGTCGTCGTGCCCGGCGTCGCAGCTGCCGCCGCCACCGCCGCCGCCGCCGTGCCCGGCGTGCCCGGCATCGTAGCTGCCGCCGCCGCCGCCGCCGCCGGGACCCCGCTTCCCGGTTTCCTCTTCACTTTCTTTCTGCTCTGCGGCTGTAGTTTCCAGATCGCTTCGTGAAGTTTCTCCATTACATCGTCCTCCTGCTCTCCGGAGGGTGGTTCACCTTCCTCGTCGACGAGGCTGCACCACGAACAGGTACGGGGGGGGATACGGTACCAAGATGAGCACCCCGGGGGTGTGTGCAACCGAAAACCAACGTACGTAAACCCACACATACAACATCTCGGTTCGGGGAGGGGGGGCAGGGAACTGAGGACAGGGACATCCACACAGAGGTTCCCGTTTTTAACTGACGCGTGTTCACAGGAGCAGGGACATACGCCAGGCATGTCCGGTCTACATGCTCAAGCATTTTCGGTTAGTCTTATGCTACGGAATCCCCCCCAATACCCCGGGGCGTTTCGAGGGGCGATCTTCTTCAGATGACAAAGCCGGGGGCAAAATGTAACCCGGGGTGTTGTCTCTTTCCTGTCGTGAGGTACCTGAACACATCACAGGGCTGACTCAACAGCATGTACGAGAGAGCATACAGCAAACCCAACGAAACAAACGGAATGCTGCTGGAACGGTTGCCGTGGGTTTATCTACCAACGATCATGGGGCGCCTCAGAATTTTTCTCGAAGTAGAACGGCGAAAAATTCAAAACTTACCCGGGGGGGGGGTAACTCTAAGTTGTGTGCTTCACCCCGGAGGTATTTCGACTTTTGATTGGGGGG